TTTAAATTGGATTGGGCCATTTGTCAGGGCCCAATCCTTTAACAATAATATATAGGCAGCCCAACTGCCCAATTCCCAACCCAATTTGAAATCAATCCCTAAATAAAATTCCCAAATTTCCCCATTCTCCAATCTCCTTCAACGGTCCAACCTTTCGAGATGCTCGTCCCCATCTCCGGCGGCAGCAGACCTCAAGGTCCTCAACCGGCCGTCGGCTACACGGCTACATAGCTACGCCTACAACTGTCCGTCAGCTATTGTATAAATAAAAGGGAAGAGACGGACGGAAAGAGCCAAAGAGGAGACAGAAAAACGAAAGGTGAGTGGGTATATTATTTCCATTTTCCAATGCCTATTTCTTCTTGATTATCTGTTTCTGAGAATTAATGTACTTTTAATTGTGGCTATAATCTTCGATTTCTATGTGGATTAGGCCTTAGGGTCCTAACCGTGAAGTGAAGCTCTGTTGTTCTATATATTTGGGATTAGGATTTAGGGCAATATTTCAACCTTAAGCTGTATTTGAGCCCATTTCTTCTACTGTTATATTTTCCCTTTTATTGATTTCCTACTTTGTCCATGACTCTCGGATAGCTTCCATAACCTTGACAATGGATGGACTTCTTCTCGCGACTGCCAACATAAGAGGCACTTGACAAAAAAACTTCAACACAATAGATGGGACTCAATTACAAGAGGTATGTCACTAGCTTTATTTCTTGGAGCAAGTCCTTTCAAGTTTGTGAGCTGCCAATAGAAAACATTTTTAAAAAAAAATTGAAGTGAAAGGAATTAGCTCAGACCATTGGTTTTTACAGTTCATCATAATATCATTTTTGAGAACAAAACCATAATTTATTTGGATTGAAGATCTTGTGTTACTTTTGGAACCATAATTTATGTGGTATGAAGATCTTGTGTTGCTTTTGGACAATATATAAAGCTACTAGCTATTTTTGTAATCACCCTTTGTCTCTTGCATTTCTCTTACGGTGCAAAGAAAAATTAAATATTATTAAACGACCTCGCTCTTATGATCGCTGATTGTCGACGTTGACCGTCGGAGTTGACCGGTCAACGTTCGCCCGGGCTGGAATGGCGGGCTGCGTCCGTCCCTGATTGCTGCCACATCAAGAACTGGCACCAGAGCTAAATCTGGTTTTTCCTCAAGCCATCAAAAGTACCACATTGGACTGCGATAACTTGGAATCCTCTCGTCAGTTTCGGAGGCTCAAATAGTTGAACAAATGAAATACCAAACCCTCAAACCGATCATTGAGTGAATCTTGCCTCAAACAAAATTCAAAATAAAGAAGCACAGCATGTAGAGTTGATACAAGTTCCCTATCGAGAAATAGAACAATTGAATTAAAAACACGGGCATGCACATCCTAAGTGATCCTCAATATTTTAGTAGTTGTTATTTACTTCTATTGCTCAACATAATGCATCACAAATCATGATGGCGGAGATTAGTAATGCAATCATGTGTTCACAATCATTGGCAGAGCAACCCATATTAGTGTTTCTTGGTGGAGCAACCAGCATAAAGGCAAGCTAACACACTCTGTACTTTCAAATATAAACAACTTAGATATCATCATGTATTGATATTATTTTCTTATCAAATAAAAGTGAAACCAAAGTAAAACACAAAATCAGTGTGCAGCTTTTATCCCTTAAGTGATGAATAAACTTGGAATTCACATTACAAAGATAGAACGCATCATGATTTCAAACGGCAAAAGTCAAGCAAATCAAAACCATCAAAGATAGATAGATATAAACAAGCCAAGTTATTTATGAACAACAGTAAATTCAACTTCATTTGTTGGTTTTTATTCTTGCCAGATTTCAACACATAGAAGGGAATGTCATCTATAATATAAACAATGATGTAGATCTGGAATAATTCTTGCCACCATATTTGCAAGAATGGGCAAAATCCAGCTATTCCATAAACAAAATCTTCAAGTATAACATTGATGAACAAGAACATCCAAAGCAAAACTGAAAATTTGGCTCCGGTTTCACTCAGCCGACCAAATTGACAATACAAGCAACTCATATAGAGGAAACCAAAAATATCAATCTGAAAACAATTGAAACAAAAAACAAAAATAGTCAAACAAACATGGATTTAAGACAGAAATGAAAAAAAAAATTAAAAACAATAGGGGAATTTGTCCAGATAGCCGGGTTCAACCAAGAAATTGGACAAAAGGCCTTTGACCCATGTTTTATATATATAAAAAAAGAAGAATATAATAAAATGACAAAATTACCCTTCACCTATTTAACTCAAAATTCACCGTTTTTTCCCTAATTTCACCACGGTAAAACCCTTCTCCAGTTTTTGAAATTTCCCGACTTCCTTCTTCCACCTCCAAACTGCCTTTAAACAATCCCAAAATCGAGGACCGCTCGAAGAGCCCATCCCAAGAGTGATTAAGCAGCAGCCATTTGATTTCAGAAGTTTTAGCAAGAAGTTTGAGCAAGGAGTCATTTGAAGGAGGTAAATTCGAACGCTTGTATTTTAACTTTTTTTTCGAAGCCATACTTGTAGTGCGAAGTTGATTATTGTGGTTTGGTATGATTTCTGTGGGTTGTTGCATACAAT